TTTTTTACAGTTAATAATTACAAATGGTTTCAACTTTTTTTTGTTTTAATTTAGTAAACATGCGAGAAGACACCCAAACTTTGATGCCTCAACCCTTCGTCAGAGGAGGCTGTCAAACAGACCATCATCCTTCAACTCCAGCGAGACTTCCTCAGAGAACTTGTCAGATTCTCAACCTTCCCCAGAATAAATTTAGTCCACCATACGCTCATTTATTATTACGATAGAAAACTGTAATTGTTAGTGAGAGGTCAATTTTTGTTATTTATTATTTGTTTTTTGTTTTTCTCTCCTTGTATCGGTTTCAGAAAACCAATGTCGGCAGACAAATCAAAGCCTAATAAATGTACATGACAATCTTCAAAGAGAAACTTGTCTTCGATGTATACATATCTATTAAAATAAACATATTTTGAATTGTATTTCTGATTAATCTTAAAATAAATCTCTCTTTTGTTTTTTTTAAATTTTTTATATGTTCTGAAACATCTATATTCATTAATTTTTCTTTTTTTAAATTCCTTCTAGTCACAGAAAGTTCTTTCTGTTTTTTTTTATTTATATATTTTTTTTGTTTTTCTGTTCTTTGTTTGTTCCATTTCTCAGGTATTGAATTACAAAGGCCATTGTTCATTCATAACCAATAAAATGAAACATGTGTAATTACTTATTCTTATAAGTAGGATTTCTTCTTTAAACGTTAAATTAGTTTAATAATATTTTCAAATTATTGTTAATTTTTTTTACATGTGAATTGTATAATATTTGTATTTAAGGTATGAAAGATTACATTTTTCTTTTGATTTCTTTTTGTTATATTATCTTGTATTTTGTAGTAATCGTAATTTTTTAATATATATGAGTTAATATATAATAGGATACTAGTTTTTGTAACATAGCCAAATGACTTGTTCCTGTCGAATCGTGTTCTATGAGCACCAATTTGTATGTATTTATATACGATGTATGTTTTTCATTGCTTCTTAAATTTAGTATAAGCAGTTGTTTAATTTTTGTAATGATCTAATTTTTTTTCTTTTACTTTATGTTATATTGAAAAAAGTAAGAATATGTGTAAAGAACAATGTGGCCCTATAACTTAATGGCACTTGTATTTAACTAGTGAAAATATTTTTAAAAATAAAGCAAAACTCAAGATACCCTTTTTTTTCTTTTTGTTTGGGAAAATATAATTCATTTATGGCTATATTAGAAGAAAAATAATTGTTTAAATTTAGATATTAGTGTTAACTAAAGACTTATGAAACAGTGCTGTCTTTTTTTTTTTTTAATGTAGTAAAAGCATCATTGTAACAAAGAAAAAAATCAGCTCTCTTTTTAATAAATTTTTAAGAGTAACTATGTTTTTATAGAAAGAATAATATCTTTGTATATACGAGAAAATTAATATTTGATAAAAAAAATATATATATGTATGTCAAATAAGGAAAGGTCAGACATTATTTAGTCCAACTATAGTCATCTTAGTTTACAAATTATTTTTAGTGTACTGAAAAAGTAGAGTAGCTATTTTCGGTATAAAAACCAGATGTAGGCAGTAAGTTACCAGTTTTTAAAGGAGTCAATTATTTACACTCTTTTGTAGAGAAAATATGTATTGTACAAATCTGGTCATAATATCCAGGTTCCCTTTGAATATATACACATTTAAATATGCCCCTGACCATCTATACATTTATTTTCCACACGAGGCAGTTTTTTTCAATATAGATTATTATATTTTATGGAATTTTCTCGAATAACAGTTGAGAACTTGTAAAAATAACTTCGAGATTGAATAAACTTTTTTTTATTAATTTTTTGCTTAGTGGGGCTGATGAAAACCACAAACCAATCTATTTTCTAATTCTTTCTCCTTAAACATATTTTTCTTTTAATTTTATTTTAAAATGTGTACATTCCATATCAACCTCTTTTAATGTTTTATTATTTTCCTTATGATGGAATAAAATTAACCTTTATTAATTTGGGAATCTATCAACAAAATCTACTGATAGAATTGTTTTCTTATATGATTCCTCTATAGAGTTGTAGATTTGAGTGTAAAAAGTGTATTTTTTTTTGTTTCCGAAATTGAGTCGCATATAAGTGTGAAAAATACTATGTGAATAGGTGGGAGGGTTTATATGATGGAACAGTGAATTATTTTACTTTGAAAAAAAAAGTAGATATTTTCATAAAAATGAATGAAAGAGAAAGGAAACGGTGAAGTGAACGTTTAATATAAGTTAATCTCTACTATGTTATATTTTTCGATTTTCTATATTTTATTACTATCAATATCATGCTCAACTTCTTATAATAAGCTGAAATTATTTTATATGTATCATCATTCATTTTGTAATTTTCATTTTGTCTTTTTCTTTTTTTTTCTTAATTTGTTTTGTTATAAACATGTATATTGAGTTGAGGACCAATATATATATATATATATTATAAATATGTATACTATTTTGTTTCTAACAATTTTCTATAATGTTATGTAAATTTATATGTTAAAAAGCATAAGAGGGCTGTGTTCTGTATTATAGTGTTAACCTTGTATAATTGTGAACGACATTGACAAAATGATATGAGCATGAGGTGAGATGTGTGTATAAAGTGATTATTTTTAACTCGGCTCTACTTATGTAATTAAAAATATATTTCACTAAGGTAAAACTGTTGTTTTTTTTAAATACCCATTGTTTTAACCTCTTTAATAATATATTTAAATTGTAAATGTTAAGTCTGTTGTCTTTACAGACCTTGTTGGTCATTTGCCTCTTTAACATCTCTGCCTATATTGGGCTAACTGCATCCAGCTCTATCTATCTGGTTTTGACATTCCACCAGAACTCTTGCCAACAATTGAGTCATTCGTTGTAGTGTAGAGGCTTTCTGATGGATTGCTCCAAGCTTATGCCTTACCCATCTTAACCTTCTTACCTTCATATCATTAGGTAATTATTAACCAATTTCTGGAAGCAGTTCGTAAGCTTCTCCACCATGTGTAAGTACTCCAAACACTCATGTGAAATGATGATGATCATCATCATATTCTCTCCTCTTGTACCGCCTATGGAGTGTGAACGGGAAGTCTATAGAGCTTTCGTCACTTTTCCACCAAACGCCTTGTCTCATTCCATTGGAATTCTCTTTTCAGGAAATCCTCCTTTACTTCGTCTTCCCATTTACTTCCTGGTCGACCTTTTCCTCTCTTCCCATCAATCTTGGCTTGATACACCTCCCTAGCAATTCTGATAGCTTCCATTCTTAGGAGATGTCCCAGCCATCTTAGTCTATTCTCTTATATAATTTCATGGGCTGGTTTAACGTTAAGGTTCGCCCTAAATGTAGTGTTGCGGATTTGGTTTTTTCTCGTTTTCTCCTAAATTTTTCTGATAAATCTCATTTTTGATGCTTGTATTCTTGATTGATGGTTTTTTTTTTAGCGTTCATGATTCCGAGGACTACGCCAGAATTGAGAGAAACATTGACCTAAACACAGCAACTAAAGCCTTCTTGTCCAACCCTCGTTTGTTCAGGAAGCCTCTCTTGACCGCTTCAAACATTCTGCCATCACTTGCCATTCTCTCAGTAACTTCTGTATGAATATAAACATTTTTCTCTTAATTTGGTATTTCAATACCTTAGAAAAATAGAAGACAAAAAAAACAAACAGTTTATTTCTGACAATTGGTCATTTATTGATGTTATTGTGGAGCTGAGGTATTTGAATCTGTGATTTGTCTCAGGAATCCTTCTATACTGATCCTATTGTGGTGTTGAATTATTTTTTTTTTTCCTATCTTGTATTTTGTTTTATCTTCATTTACTTGTAGGTCGATTTTCTTTGATTTTCCTATCAGGGTCTTAGTGAGCTTCTCAATCTCTTCTTAATTGCTTCCAAGAACAGCTATATCATCTCCATATTCTAAAATTTTATGAATCATTCTGAAGAATATCTCTCCATTTCCACATGATGTTCCTATTACCTTCTCCTACTTAACACTAGCGGAGAAAGTTCCTGTCACAAACCAGTTTGAACATTTAATGTTTCAGATACTTTTTCTTTTTGTCAGGAATTAATATTTAGAATAAATTGTTCAGACCTTAGCAAATTTTAACATTTTACTAGGTATTCCTAACTCAGTCATAATCTTTCAAAGAAAGTTTCTGTCCATGGAATTATGAAGAATGCTTTGAGATCAACAAATAAGGTGTGTACATCCTGAGTTATTGCTTGTGGTTGTTTTTCAAGCACCTTGTTTAGGATGAAGATTTGGTCTAGCTTGTTTCTTCCTGTTCTGAATCCAGCTTTATGGTCGGATATATCCGGTTTAGCATAGGTCATCCTGTGGGCAACAAAAAGGAGTGCTGTGCCTCTGTAATTACTACATTCATACATAGAGCCCTTTCTTACGATAGGGCTGATTAGGCCTTTGTTCTATATATTTTCTTCCTCCCATATTTTCGGAATTAGCAATAGCAGCTTGACTCTTAAATCTTCACTATCATTTTTCAACAGTTCTGATGGAAGGTTGCCCCTCCTTGGCCCCTTTCTTGTTTTAAGCTTTCGATAGCTATTTCCACATTCTCTATATCTTGTTATTAAACCTCTTGTCTGTCGAGGTCCATCATGATATAAAACCAGGGTCGTTACCTAAAACAGTGAAATTTTTCAAGGCTAGTTTTAGATTTCAAACTAGATATTTTTAAAGGTATCTAGCCCTATGCCCAACCACCAACCTGGAGAAGCAAGAGCTATGATATAAGGCACAGATGTTATTCTCCTCCCTGTGTCTCTCAGCCTCAAGATATTGCTGTCTCATTGCAAAAATAGAAAATAAGATTTAAAAATAAATTTAAACCATATGGTATCTTTCTCTATGGTATTATATAGATTTTAACATTCTGTTTCATAAAAAAATACAGAACTTGTATTAGTTGGAAGCTGGTAATGTATAATTAGTCTACGGGACAAGGAAAAGAAGTAGTTTGATTAAGTAACATCATCACCATTTATTGTAAATTATTTTTAAACTTTTAAATGAGGTTGTGGCCTCAAGAGTTACACATCATTCACAATTCAATATCGTTCATTCCAGTTCTGCATAGAAAGGCTTAGAAAAAAATGATGACTTCCTGAAAACAGACTGAGGATCGAAGGAAACAAATGATGTCTTGATATTCTTTATTTTGTCCAAGTAAACTGAGTGGGCCTGGTCAGTGTAAAGTGGATACTTAGAAATAACCTGGAAAATTAATAAAATTATGATATATATTATTTTTACATCTAAAAATATAAATTATAATACTTTATCTTGAGGGATGAAACAACAAAAGTATAAAATGATTTCCATCTGTTGACATCTCAAGTAGCAGTGTGCACAAATACAATAAGGGCCTTCAGAGGCAGCCAGTATGAATAACAAATCAAATGTAGTTTTTAATTTTGATAATGATAAGAGATATTCTGCTGTTTTGAATGGTTTAAAGTAAACAGGGTCAAGTTCTAGACAAGATCGTTGATTTTATTTATTTTTTATTTGAAGCCACCAAAATTATTTATTTGGTACAAGAAAAGGTCAGTTTTCATAGAATATAGCAGACAGGAGTGTCCATCCCCACAAAGTGTCCTTCCCTCCTCCCAAGATATTTTATTGCTTTATTCTTCTTAAAACAGTGTAAGCTAAAGTAAATTAAAAAAACTTACAGCAGTCTGTTACATTTTTTCTCCTTGTTTCCTGGTTTGAAACTTTTCATTCCAAAAATTCATAACTATGTCAAAATGTGCCCCCCTCAAAAATACAAAACCCCGTCAAACATTGCCCCCTCAAAAATTTTGATGACTCAACTTGCGCCATGAAACCGCCTTCTGGGCACCTCTGATACTAGGAGTTTAGCAGTATCTATAGATTATAATATATATATATATTACTAGACATCATCTATTTGCATGTATTCAATACATTGATCTTTAAATTAAAATGATTTATCCGTACAAACATTAATACCTCTGGATCTGCACTGTCAACAATATCTGCAACTTGAAAACCACCTCCTTGGAAATCAGACTTGTATGTGGTATCTTTCTCCATCTTGAACGTTTCTTCATGGCCACCCAGTTCAGTGAGGTATCTCTGGGAGATTTCTTGGTATAGAAATTGTCTCAATAATCTCTTCTTCCGGGCTGAAACAAAAAAAATCACATAATCATTTTAATGTCAGTATAAATCATTTTAATGTCATAATCATTTTAAAGCAATTATTTCATAAGCTAATACTTATTATAAATTAAAAGGAAAAATAATGTTGTTTTTTTATATTATATAAAATGCATTATATCAAATACTATTAACAAATAATTTTATTTGTTTTGGTTTTTAGATGGCCTTTGATGTTTTTTTAAATAAAAAAAAATTATTTTGTTAATGTGGAGAGGAGTTGAGGTGCTGATGAGAAACTTGGAAAGTTTCGAGAGAATGGTATAAGAACAGATACTGAGCTGTTCACGCTAGGAGAAGATATTAAAAAGCACACACTTTTTTTTTTTCAACCACTGCAGAGACAGGGTTGCCACCCATCGGATATTTCCTGGAAGAGTTCTGTTTTTTTAACCATTGTTTCTTGTCCTTACAAACCTTATCACAAGATGCATTTAGTTCCGCATTTTGTACATTTGATAAAAATATGTTGAAAAGTATACATTAATTTTCAAGAGTGTTAAAGATAGAAAAATATACAACTTGGTCAAAAAAGTGTCTGCCTTCAGCATTTTAACATTAAACACATTCATTGAAATGATGTTCTCACACATGAACTAAAAAAGATCATTGACTGACATTTCATAACCATAAATCACTTAGAATGATTGATGAATTTCCCTTTTGTGAAATCAGATAATTATGTGCTTACTGTAACCATATATATTTTTTTTCTCTTCAAATATCTATTGACACTTCTCACGGTATTGACAATAAGCAGATATTATGTGATAAATAAGGATCAACATTATAGGCAGGAGTAAGGATAGCACCCAGCAGCACCCCTTCCTGGTAATTATTTACCTCCTTGATTTAGATGAGATCTCTCAACCAGCTCTTTTTTAATCTACTCCTGCTGGGCATGTCAGTCATGGCCATGTGGTTTATAAATCTGTTTGTGTGTCCTTGTAGTTTGAGATGAAAACGGAAGTAGACAGTACCACTAGCGGATCCAGGTTTCATTTTTTGGGGAGGGGGAGTCTTCAGCCCAAAATATTTGTTTTTTAAATTTATAACGATAATTACTTTGGAAGAAAAAGAAAGAAACTAACTACCTATACGAGATGGCGTTTAAGTGATTTTTAAAGTCCTGTTAAATGTAATTACACAAAAAATAATACTTTTTTAATAAGATCTAATAATATTTTAGCAATTTTTTGGGGTGGTAGACCGTAGACCCGGCTCTGAAGAGTACGTATGTGTTGGTATATAGTTGGTTGTCGTAAGTATTTATGTAAAGTTTTGTTGTTGACGTACTCCTGTTATAAGTCGTAAAATTTTGAATTGAAATGACTATAGTTTTTTAAGTGCGTCTTTTTTGCCGAACTGTAAGTCTGAGAGGCGTATGTCCAGATGGGTTTTAGTAGGTAAGTGTATTTATTTAGTTTTGTAAAACTTTAAATCTTGATTTTAAAAAAAATGAGTACAGTATTTTCATTCGCTTGTTTAAAGTCTGTCGTTTCATTTTGATGTGTGGGCTCTTGATATTTGATTTATAAAATGGTTTGTATCAAGTTAGTGCAGTTACTGTTTTTTATCGATTAATAAGGTCATCATTTACAAAAACGTTCTTAAAATTTCTGGTCCATCAAACGTACATAATGAATTTTTCCAATAAACTGACGATATATGGGTTTTTCAGACCAAGTTTTCTTATAAAGACAGAACTGTTTAAAAATTAGAATAGAATGATTATTATTTTAATTTAATGCCATGAGTGTTACCCTCATAATAAACTTTAAATGTAACGTTTCAAACATTCATTCCATTTAATTTCTTATTGTAAGATATCTTTAATCTAAAAATAACAGAATCAGCAACTACTGACAAATATTTTCCCCCTGATGAGAAGTGCTTAATGCATTTTTGGTAATTTTCTTTAAATCAAAGCAACTCAGTTAACAAATTAATTTAACCTGTTTGACATGCAAATTATTTTTTTCGATGAAATCCACACATCAGTAGACTTTAATGAAAAAATTGTTTTTTTATTAAACTTGTAAAGAAATGTGAAACCTAGTGTTAAGGGAACTTCATGTTTTATAATCATTCTTTGTAAAATACTATCTCCAATTATGATCATAGCTTAATTTGAAGACTTAATAATGAATGTATATATAAATAACACTGAATACCATGCGGGCCCACTTCGAACTTGGGCCATTTATAATCTTCTTTAGTTATAGTCAAGTCATTTATCAAAGGGTTTTCTTCTGTTCCATCGGAAAGGAGGCCTTTCCTACTTGCATTCCCATATTCTGGGACCCATTTGTCCCAGTCTTCGTTGCCTTTAACCTTTGCCATATTAATTTACATTAAAACTTAACAACCTAATCACAAAATGACAACTGTTAGGTTGCTATGCCGACTGAAACTTATCAATAACATACTACTTTCTTGTAGAAAATCAATATGTAATTATATATGAATATAATAAAACTTTCCAGCCACAAGGAAGTTTATATCAATGTGCAAAAATTATGTCCGATTCATAAATTTGAAAGAAATAGAGTTTATCACCTATAAATTAATTTTTCCTGTTGATTTGAAACATTTTTGTAATTTTTGACCATATTTATTGATAAAAAAAAGTAAGTGTATGAGACAAATCCTACCTTAAAAATACTTACGCTGAGAACATACACAATTTTCACAGATGGAAAATTCATCGAAGTACTTAGTGATTTAATTAAATGAAATTTTAATTAACCACTTTTTGCAATGAACATATATTTATATTTTTAACTAATATTAGAACATTATATTATTTACCTGATAGCTGTACTAAAGTTTCATTCCTCAATTATAAAGGACACAATAAAAAAAATAAAAAAAATCGGTTGGGGAGTTGGTTGAAGATATCACAGAAAAAATTGTTCTTTTTATTTTTTATTCTCTACAGCCAACTATTTTTTCTCCTTTAGAGATGGGTATATAGTTGAATTATGAATTTATAAGAATGAAAAACCTGTCAGAATGTGTAGTCAAAAATTTCTTTATTGAGTTAGCCAACATTTTGACCCATACATGGTATCATCAAGGCTAAAAAATAAAAAAATATAATCTAAAATAAAAAAAATGATAAATATAAAAGTGGAAGAGTGAGGCATAACAGTAACAAAGCCAAATTAATAAGATTAAATAAATAAGAGTAAAGAATAATATAGTTTATTTATTTTTTATTTTTATTCTTATTATCACTATCTTATTTAATTAATTTATTTTTATTACTATTATCTTGTTATTGTTATTCTTCACTTATTATCCATATACTTTTTTATTTAACATTTTTCTGATGTTATGTTATATTTTTTAATTTTTACCCCTGATAACCCACATGTTTGCGTTGAAACATTAGCTAACTCAATAAAAAAATATTTCAACTGCACATTCTGACAATGTTTTAACCATTATTTACATATTCATTTATTTGCTTCATATAAAATACAATTTATAAATGAATTATATTTATATAAAAAGCAATATTGAAATTTATGTATATGGGTTTATTTATAAGTGAAATTTAATCTGCTAATGCAGTAATTCTCCTAGCACATATATAAAATTACCTGTCCTAACATTTCTAACGATCTTTACTATTTTATTTTGTGTTAAAAGCTTCTAATATAATGAAACTCTAATATTCACTGTTGTACCTTTTACCACTCAATAAAAGAGAACTTTGAGAATTTGGTGTGTGTATTATTTTTTGGTGATCAATCTATAGTATTTCAGAAATGTGTTATGAGAGAAAATATATTTTTTTAAAACTTGTAGTAACACAGTGGATGATCTTTTATTTTATCACATTTCGCGTATAATTGATTTTTTTTTTTTGTTTTTGGGATATCAATTTCATGTTAGTATTTTTCAAAAATCTAAATTAAAGATACTTTGAAGGAAGAAATTCTGAAATCTTTGCATTTAAGCCCTCTCAGAATCTTTCAACAAGGATAAGACCTAATCAGTAATAATAAGGCTTAGCGAACCCGGAGGTTCGATGCCGATACCACCAATCAATGTCTACATTCTTCCATTCACCGGGCTCCGTCTAAACCCTGCCAAATCAGCCTTAACGCAATTTACCCTCCTTTGCTTTGGTCTACCCCTCGGACGCTTGCCAGTCGATACAGAGTATATTAATTTTTTAGGAATTTTTTGTTACTAAGCCCAGCGATTTTACATGCCCATTTTATTTGCCTCAACTTAGTCAACTCAATTATACTAACCAGATACAGTTCACGCAATTCAGCGTTGTATAACCGCCTAAATTCTCCGGTTGACTCGTCCTTTTTCGGTCCGAATATTCTGTGCAATATTTTATTTTCAAAAACTTTAAGACGTTGCTCATCCCTTAATGTAAGTGGCCATGTTTCTTATCCATAAAGAACCATAGGTGGGATAATGGTTTTGTAAATACTAATTTTTAAGTTTCCGGACAGGAGGCGAGAACTAAGTAATTTTTGACAAAGAAAAATAACAAGCATTTCCCGCCTTTAGCCTACTCTTAATATCCTCTTCAATTTCGTTTTTTCTAGTTATCTTAGACCCTAGATACCTAAAATTCTGTACGTGTTCAAACACATTCCCTTCTATATGGATATCATCGAAATTGTTGCTGTTTTTGCAGCTAACCATATATTTTCTCTTATCCGTATTTATCTCGAGTTCTAGTTCTTTACAGGCTATCATCAACGTTGTTGTATTTAGATTTAATGTTTCCATATCTTCGCTTAACAGTACCAAATCATAAGCGTACCCAAACACGGATTGAACCATTGTTCCATCCAGGTTGAAATCTTTTTTGGTACGTATCACCTCTCTATCAATCAATATTAAAGTTAATTTAAATTTACATCAATATAAGTAGTCAAAATCTTTTTGAGAAAATTAGCAATGAGTAAAATTGATGATATTAAGAACCATATCTGATTAGTCGATTCTGACAGTAAAGTAGCAGTAACATCCCAGGTGTATACCTGCCTTAAATAATTTCACAATAGTGTGATTTTTCCTATTTGAGCTTAACTCTTCACAAACACACTGACATTAATTCATGACTAGGTTATTTGGATTTGAGCATGCACTTCCTTTGAAAATTCAGATTCAAAATATTTTATGATGGCAATATTTTTCATACATTGGTCAATAAAAGCAAAAAAGAGAAAAAAAAAATAAGAAAGCAAGGTAAAGGATGAAAAAAGTATTAAAATCTTATTCAACTATTTTTATTTATAACACTGAATAACTATTACAGAAAAAATAAATAAAGAAAAATAAATCAATCCCAAAAAATGAAATTTCTAAATTTGTAATAGAATTTTTCCTCTGCATGAATGAAATAATCGACGAGACTTGGTCTAACAAGAGTATCTTCAGGTAATGTTTTGTAAATAGGCTCTCCCTTCCACTTGCCAACTTCCCAACCTTCTACGTTTGCCATTATCTTTTCTTCAGCATCCCTATTTCTTCTCAACTGTTTTAAATACCTGAGGAAGAAAAAGGATATTTAATACAAATAAAATCCAAAATTTCAGAGCAAATCATTTTTAAAAAAATGCTTAAACCAAACAAAAGACTTCTATGGCCTCATTAAATAGAACCTCAATCACCATAAAGATCAGTATGAACAAAGTGATATTTTATTTTATTTTTTATCTAATAAATATTTTAAAATAAGTAGTAAAAAACAAGCCAGAAAATTGCTCATTACCAGCCACAACTTTCTCCCATCTTTCTGGTATCATATGAATTCCATGACAGAAAAATGACTCACCTTTTAAGACTATCCAAAAATCTACCCATATTTTGGTACCTTCTTAAGAATTGAAGTGCTGCTTATCTTATGCCCAATGTGTCATCGAACGAAATAAGTGATAATCGGAAGGGACTATATGTGGTGAATAATATCTGGTGGTTAATTTTATAACATGTGGCCGGGCCTTATCATGTAATAAACTCTCTTTGCTGTGTCTATGCCGTGGATATTTTTCCTTAATGCTTGACTCAAACACATCAATCGTAACTGATACTGATCTGCGATAGTTAATTCGGTTTGAGCAGCTCATAATAAATTGTTATTGTTATTGCAGCTCATAACAATGACCGTGCTGATTCCACTAAATGCAGAGAATCTTTACCGAGGATATTTTACTTTGTGGATGATGTTGAAACGTAGCCGTGAAAATCCAACACTTTAAGAATTATTATACTGTATCTATTTTCTAACGCCCGTCATGATATGATCCAAAAAACTTCAACTCATGTGACATAAAATCACCTAATATCCTTTCTTCTGTATTATTCCAAATGCTTTCAAATGTTTTAAAATCATTGTGTCCTCTACTAGTAATGTTTTTTCAAGTTAAGCTAGCATCTGACATGGGTCTTCATTATGTAATTTCTCCAGAACTTCTCTTGGAATAACCATATTTCTTAGATCGCACAAAAATCTATAGACTCCTAAGGTTTCATGATTCTATTTCTCAAAATACTATATATCTCCTTGTAACCTCTCTTATTTTACTCCACTTCAAATATGGTTACTTAATATTCTTTGGTGAAAACAGCATTTTACTAACTTTCTAATATAGAATCTTCAGTTAATCCGGTCTAACAATTTATTTAAAACATATTAAGTCTTGTATTGTCTCCTAAGTTTTTTTTTAAATTTAACCATAAAATTTCAGAAAAACTGTTTGTTTTTGATTTTATATAACTATTACCATGATTTTTTAAATTTATTTACTTATTAACTATAATATCATCTATAATGTATATAACTAATTTGTGATGCAGTATAACGAATGTTGAAAATAAATTAACTTACTGACTAGCTGAAGTTAAAAAACTGACAATATTATAATCTTAGAATTATAATGGTTGTAATATAAATATTTTTTTGTTTTTTTTTAATTTATCATTATTATTATTAATATTATCAGAGTAATAATGGTTTAAAGCCAACAAAAAAAGTTAACTCACTCTCGATCTCTTTCAGCAACCAAGAGAGGTGTAATTGCTAGAATAGAACTCTTCATTTCAATTAAATTTCGTTCATGTTGTTTATGATTGATAAAATAAAGATAAAAGGCTCCAGCAGATATCGCCAAATGTGTAGCAATCAAAGCAGGACCTGGAATCAAAATATGTATACATAAAAAAACAAAAAAGGTACCGTTTTATAATCAATTAAATCATACTACATTTGCAGGTTAAAACAATTACATATCAACATCAATGTTATACAAGTCTATAGTTGAAAGAACTAAAATATTGATAAGGCGAAATAAAAAAAAGCATGTTTTTTATTTTAAGAACCACATTTTCTGTTCATTTTTAATGCATACTTAAGATAAAGGTGTGATGTTTTAAAAAATGTTTCGATTTCGAAGTGGATGTGAGGAGAAGGCCAGCATAAAGATAAAACATTGGAGCTATTAAG